CTGATAAGTAACTGATAAGTAACTCAAAGTATTACTTTTAATCTCAATAGTCACGCTAAATCTTGCATATGATTGGTTCAAAATTATGCATAATAAAAATTATGTATTTCCGCCCATACGTTAAGCTTAAATTTTTTAATTAATTTTCACTGTATTAATATTAGGTGACTAATAAAAAATAAATTATAATTCAGGCCAACTGTCCAAAAAATTTTTCATAATTCTGGTAAAAATTTTTTATATAACATTTATGACAATTTTTTTTTTTTTCTTATACTACTAATGTTAAGAATAGACCATGTAACCATGTGGTAGGTCGATGATCTTACGAGCTGTCCTCGAATGCTGTCACGCATAACCCGCGTGAAAATAATATAATGAATAATAATCAAATGCGGTAATAAGGAAATGTATTGGCAATCATCCGTTACATAATTTCTCACGTGTTTGGTTGCATTCATATATTTCTGTCACATCACCGTATCACATTATATACTTACGCACGCACGTACGTACGTACATGTTGTCGCCCATATGCGCGTTATTTTGAACAAATGAGCGTGATATCGAGTACACGCATGTACGTTATCAAAGGCCAATTTTCTGTTGGACCTCTTTTCAAAATAACGCCCATGCACGTTGTACTGTACATATGAAAGAAAATCTGTAATTCACAATCTTAAACCGTTAGCATATAAAATTAGAACAATAAATTTTTGTTTGGCCTTATACGAATGCGTGCTATTTTCGAATCATGTATTCTATTTTTAGGGATAAGAATTCTCAAGACAACGTCCGTTATGCGATACATAAAAATAGAAGATTTAGGGTTAGAGTAATTGATATGATCGGCACAAGCAAGCTTAAAAATGTGCTATACTATGAAACTTTATCAAATCGGTCAATAAGAAGCAGATTTCTTTTAGTAGAGTAAAATCAGATAGTTTTTGATATCAAGTCTTGTCTCAATCGATCTTTTGATAAAAACACCGTTATAAAGTCACGAATATATATAAAGTATGTAAGAAATTAGAGTTTTGTATGTAGCAAATTTTAGATAAATTAGAGTTTTGTATGTGGCAAATTTTGTATGTTGGTTTATTTACAGAATTTATTTTGTTCAAAAATTGATATATAAGAAATATTTATTTTTTTTTATTAACTAGCAATCAAATAAATACACTTATTTTTATTCAGTTAATCAATATTAATGTAAAAAAATGTATATTATTTATTGATTTATTGATTGCCCGCGTAGCGAGGACTTATTATGGAGACGTAAATACACAAAATGTCTTGGGTTCCGCTCACGGTGACACATATACAATCAAATATAAATAAAAGCTTATCTGTTTCCGTCGGATACTAACAGCATCTGTTTTTACTAGTTTAATGGTTTATTTTCAAAATTAAGAATCATAAAATTATTTATTTGTTGAAATTTTAAAAAGCAAAACTTGTTTTGTTCTATATTAAGTGGCTTAGTGTAACGTTTTATAAGGAATTAATCGGCAAAATTTAAAGATTAATTTAATAAAAAATATTTATAAATATAAAAATTTTTTTAGAATTTCAAATTTATTTACGTATATATAAAAATTTAAGTCTATACAAATTTAAAAATTCATTATAGATTTATAAAATTGTTATATTAATATGTTTGTATCAAAATGAAACGACCTATATGATGAATAGTTGCTAATATGTGAGGCGTAACTGAATACCTGCGCCGCAACCTAGCACACAGGCAAAATGTAAAGGTATATTCGATAAATCTTAAAAAATGTATACTATATATATATATAATGGATTAATTTTTCATAAAAGTAATATACTGTATATAATAATATATAAAATAAAAATACAAAAAATAATTAACATAATTATACTAAAATTAACAATTATTAATTTGGAATATTTCACATTCATCGATTTTAAATTCTTTATCATCATAAATGCTATTATAAAATTGAGGTTGACAAATACATTCCATTGTGTTTAAATCAATAACTAAATCTTTGTTACCAAATCTTGGCCCGATCCATAAACAAGAAGTGTATGAATCATTATTATCTTTGTTATCACTAGCATTTTTCATTTTGCTAACAATACAGTCATCATTATTTGCTTCACCATTTTTAAAGCAAAATAAGAAGCTAGAATCAATTGATGGTGTGCTAAGTGATAAAGAATCATGATCTAAACCACTTGGAGAGAATCCACCAATAATTGTGTTTAATCCATGAACTTTTGCCAATACTAAAGTGTTGGGTCGGTTAATACAGTTTTCCTTGTAATTTTTTATGTAAGTTTTCGGATCTTCTTTATTTTGAGTAGTGATACGACATAAAAGGTTGAATTTACGGGGTGTCATCTGTTGTTTTTGACTAATAGATTTATGTCTTAATTTGCTAAATTGTTTAAAAGTAAACAGTCGTTTTATAGTTTTGCGCTTTTTTATAGGTACTATATTTTTTTGCCGATTATTACCCATCCATTTCAAAATAAAGTCAGCATGATAATGATTCATTAAAGTTGAGTCATCAAGGAAAACACGACGAAATATATCATTGTATCTGGATTTAACATCTTTGTCGAGATAGTGTTGTAAAGTTTGGCTACTTAAATTCTGTGGGATAACTTTACTATACGGAATTATTCTTGCATAAAAATCGTTTCGAGAAATTTGATCAAATTTTATATGATCGATAACGTTTTTCACAGTTTCTTTAAGCACTGTCCACTCTCCAAATGACCACAAAGGAATATTCTGTTTTAAATTTTGGCTTTGTCGAATTCCCCACAACATTAGGATATCCCAAGCGATACCTTGTTTCATAAAACAACGAACATCGCTTAGGAGCATGATGAAACATGATTCCTTTAATTCGCCCAAATCCTTTGATTCTAATAAATATTCTGGATTAGAGCTAATTTTAGGAATAAGATGACGTTGAATGGTTTCAATTATTTCGTCACTATCGTCTGTAAAAAAACCATTAATAACTTTTACAATATTTTTTTGTAGCCATGTTGAATTGCATTCTATGATTTGACGTTGTAATTCGTTTAGTATGTCATTTAGACCAAAATGTTCAGCGGCTTTAATGATATTTATAAAAAGTGATCCATCTAATTCGTTCAAGTCGATTTCATTTTTATAAAGGAATCTATTATATGAATTAAAATTTATTAATTCATAAATTTTAGATAGCAAATTGAAACAGAAAAAAAAAAGGACTTTTAAAAATATACCTAAGTAACGTTCTAAATGCGTTTGGGGTGACCATAGGTTCCTCAAGAATGATAGAGTTACCATCCTTCGTAATATAGTTGTGAGATAAAGCAGTTCGAAAATATTGTGATTGAGAAACCAACACATCTGAATTACAATAAAAATCTTCTACATCTGGCGACTGCCCAACTCTTAACGTAACATCAAACTCTTTACGAGAATAATACTCAGGAAACGAATCCGTAATTAGTGATAGGTGTTCGTAATTATTATTTTGAAGATAATCTAATAAATTTAATGAAAGGCGGCTTAATGATTCTAAGTTTGAATCCATTTTTTATTTTTAGTTTTTTTTTAAAAAAAAGGGCAAAAACAATGACAGTATAAAATCTATCGAATTTATATAATTTTTATGAACGCGCGGGTTTACATTTGTAATCTCTTTATTTGGTAATATTCATTCCGTTCTATATTTAGTAAAAAATATACAACAGTGTGACCGAGATTAGCTTTGCAATTATTATTATACTTTATGTGACAAAAATATTTTTTGCTGCCAAGGTAATGATTTGTTCGGGGTACTATAAGGTTCACGTTGCCTTATCTATACAATTATACAGTCATAATACAGTCTTTGTACCATATAATCACATAAGAAAAGCTCACACAATGTGTGTGTAACGTGTCTGTGATTATAGAGATCGTTCCTGAGTCAATTGTAACGGTATTAGTAATGTTTGCGTAATAATTATAGAGTATCACAATTTTGTAGTTCTTCTGAAAATGGTGAAAAATAAAGTTGGTTTTATTGTATTGTAAAACACCATATTTAATTACACTACCGTTACGATTTAATAAATGAATTTAATTTATAAAAAAAAGTTATATTTTACCAATTTAGCTCGTCACCGAAATTTTGGATTACGTAGATTTTATACAACCTCCCCCCCATTGGATGAAACCTATCGATATATCAACATACAAAAATAAAATAAAAGCGCCCCTGCATGTTATAATATCCAAAAATAAGATCTATAACTATAAGCTATATATAGATAGAAAAAAAAATTTTATTATTATCATTATCATCATTATTGAAAATTATTAATTAAAGTTTAACTTTTAAATAATTACGTAGGTAGGTACGTACGTACGTTTTTAACCTTTTCGTAAATCAATTATAATCGTAATTAAACTTAAAATAATCAAGTTAAATATATCGATATTTTAATTAAGGCAAATATAGGTAGAGCTTGAAGCCCGGTACAACATAATATGTACGTATTTGAGATAACTTGGCCACCCTTATATGTCCAGTAATTTGGACTTATACGTTCCATAAGTCCAATGTTCCAGTTTAATAGATTCTGGTGGACAAAGGTGGCCCAATTACCAATGCTTAGTACATATGAAATAATGGGTTAATAACGATCAAAAACGTGATCACTGACCAATTAAATCACTAAAAAAATTCATTTCATGTAGCAGATAAAAATTACTTTTAAAAATATAATAAAGAACAAAATTGTTTAATTTAAACGCATGAATAGTTCTTACCTATTGTTTCTTATTTCAAAATCAAACAATACCGTGATTGAAACCGATCAATATTTAATTAATCGGTTAAAAAATTATAAACGATTAAAAACCGGTTAATAGATCAAAAAAAAAAAGTTAATTTATCTTTAACGTTAAGAATTTGATATTCTGGAAATCACTTTATCATATACAGTAGAATTTTAAGGTTTACATAATCATAAAGGTACCGGCATAGTTTTATTACCATCATGATACTGTAGATATTTAAGCACTAAATCAGAAAGCATCGTTTAATCTTAGTTTTAAAGATGCGAACACTAATCAACAATTAAAAATATTTAAATCTAATGGTTATGAATGAAAATTATACATCAATCGATTTTATTTAGAAACAATTCTCAATAGATAAAAAAATAAGACATCTGAGGCAATATGCATTTATTGCGGTTTGCATCATTTTAAGATCATAAAAAAATGAAATCACATGGACTTCTAGGTGATTTCTGATTTCTTAAGACTACACCGACATGACAATTTCATAACATATATCCAAGTATCAGAGTAGTTTTAAGGAATTAGAAATCACCTAGGAATCGCAAGTGATTTGATCTACAAAATTTACAAACCCGCAATAAAATAAATTTTGTATTAACCACCTACAGCATATAAAAAATAAAATTTTAATTGATATTATAATTATTATCTTATAATCTACGAGGTAGAATTTAATAATTTTATTCATCCCAATAAGTCAAATGGTAAAGAATTATTAAATTCTGACTATTGCAATTTTCGCGGCCAACCAATTTTTTGTGACCGGCCAACCAGCCAACGGTCAATGGCCAACCTTCGGCCAAAAATTTCTAATTTATGTTATTAGCCAATCATATTACCAGTTTTTATTATATAAACTTTTGGTCAAATAATTTTTTTAAAAAAAATTTAGCTGTTGGCCGGCCAAATATCTATGTGACAACACTGATTATGAAATATTGTATATTTAATTTAGTAAATAAAAACTTTTTTAATTACAGCTATATATGTATTATATATTATAATATAGCACTGCATAAACTATTCCCCGCAAATAATATCTTTATTCAAAATCAGATCTATTTTTAATTCTTATCAAAATCCCAAAACTTATCCC